GCATTGCCTAGCTTTCCCAAAAGTTGTTCTCATCCAGGGAGGGTGGACTGCAGTTTCGACCTCGCATAGGTTGAGTGTTTATCGTATCAAGCTCTCATTCTGAACTGTCACGGTACGACTCCCGCTGGGGGTGTTGATAAGACCAATGCGAGGTCGAAACCGCAGTCCATTCCTGTTTGGATGAGAACAACTTTTTGGAAGGCAAGGCTATGTAAAATTAAATGGAAACGTCAGCTCAACTCGTATCATTTTGGGAAAATTCTTCTTCTACCAGTCCTTCATCCCCTTAGACGAAATTGGGTGAATACATCTATTGAACTTCTTCAGAGGTGTGCCCTTTATGGTGCTGAGAACGGCAACACTCACTAACGATTCCGGCGAGACGTCTGTGAATGATGATAACTTGCTATAGCAGATGACTTCAGTAAAAGCGAGTCGAACTAAGTGGCCATGACAACACGATCAAGTTGCACAAAAGAGGTTAGACCACTTCTATACATCGAAAGAAGTCTGCGACCCAAATAGTGGCCACAACATTCTTGCTTTCATATTCTCGATTTAGTGCTACATTGAAGTCTTTACTAGAGTTAGATCCAGAATTGACGACGTCATTCGCATGAACTTGACCCGTTTCTGCCTGAATAGAGCAAGATGCCTCGTGGATGCGTTGTATTAAATCCAAACGACTACATGGCGACGGGAATCAACCGTCGTCTTCGGGTTAGATCGACATGTGCATACTGTTGGTGCGGATCACTTTCGCATCCTGTACCCCTTTCAAATGACTCCTTGCATTTACCGCCTCCTGTTTCGCCGCGCCAGTTACCGACAGTCCGGCATCAACGTCAAACGTGACGACTGGGTGATGCATGTCTCCGACGGCATTCAGCGGAGTCCCGACCGCCACGTAGTCGTGACAATTCGGCCTCGAGTGCTTCAAGAGGCCGGCTGGCGGCTCTACGTCAACAACAGTGTTCTCGTCACAGAAAATGCCACTCTGCCGCTTCATCCGTCCGTCTTCCCGCGCTGGGCGCCGGCCAAATCCGGGGACGACGCCGCTGGCAACCAGACCCTTCCAGAGGCCGACACCTCCAGCATCAGCGGTCTCTCAGACCCCGACGGAGCGCCCACCTACTTTGTCGTAGTCTTCCCGACCAAGGGCAACCTGGTGCTGCTGCCTCCTCCTCTCCCGTTTCCGCGCCCCTCCGATTCGGGACCTCTTTATCCCCGGCGACTGGCCGGAGAAGCCAGCCTTCCGACAGGTGACCATCTTCCCGGTTGGTCGGGCGATTCGCAAGCCTCTTCGGTCTCCGACGTTCTCGTGGTCGCCCAGTTCCACGCCTCCGACATCCTCCAGGGCCGATTGGCCTACAAGCATGGGCCGGCCGAGGTCGGGCTGAAGCCGATCTACGACTTTGTCCGCATCTGGGACTTGAACACGGGACAGACGTTCTCCCTTAACTTTACCATCCTACCCATCAACAGCCAGGCGCCAAGTCTGAAGTCGGACTTGCCAATTCAGGTGAGGCATACTTTTGTACCGCCTCACGGCTGCTTTGTGGACTATTTTTCTTCATTGTTACGCAGTCTCGGTCAGAGCTCGATGATCAGAGCCTAACTTTAACCTTTTGATAACTCTGATTTAGGACCGATATTGCGTATAGACGCTA